GCTTTGGGAGGAACGGTTGGTGAAAGGGCTGGAGGGAGGCAGCATGTCTGGCCTGGCAGGAATAGGCTTTGGGTTACTGCTGGTAATCCTGTCTTCCTCTTGTGGGATTAGAGAAGGTCAGAACATGTGGCCTCCTTGCCGTTTTTGCAAGAATAAATTTCTGTTTGTTAAAGCCACCCATTTATGCTATTTCTTTCATAGCAGCACTAGAGAACTGAGACAACTTCTTTAAAGTGCTGAAAAGCAAAGGTGGCACTTTGATGACTAAGGTGCATGAAATACCAGTCACGGTATTTTCACATACGCATGCAAAAGTTGGACAATGAAAAAGAGAGACTGAAGAAGATTGACACATTTGAACCATGGTGTTGGCAAAGAATACTGAATATACCATGGACTGCCAAAAGAACAAACAGATCTGTCTTGGAGCAAGTAACCAGAAAACTCTGCAGAAGCCAAGGGTGGTGAGACTTCATCTCCCTTACTTTGGCCATCAGGAGGGAGCAATTGCTGAAGAAAGACATCATGCTTAGTAAAACAGAGGATCAGAGAAAAAGAGGGAAACTTTTATGAGATGGACTGACACAGTGACTGCAACAATGGGCTCAGCCATAACAACTATTGTGAGACTGGTGGAGGACTTGGCAATGTTTTGTTTTGTTATATATATGGTCATATTGTCAGAAGGGACCATTCTCTGAAGAAGGATATTATGCTGGGTATAGTGGAGGGTCAGCGAAAAAGGAAAGACCTCAACGAGACTGACTGACACAGTGGCTGCAATGATGGGCTCAACTATAGCCACTATTGTGAGGATGGCTAGGACTATGCAACATTTTGTTCTGTTATATACAAGGTTGCTATGAGTCAGAGGCGACTCAACGGCACCCAACAAGAAGAAAGAAACTTATAAAGATACACATTGCATTTTGTTTTTTAAAATAAAAATTAAACATATATTTAAATTAAAAATAAAATTAAACATGATTACAATGATTCTAAATTTAAAGCATTCTAAGATGGGTCTCAAGATCTAAAACTTTTCAGAGGATATTTTTTAAAATGCTTCCATTAAACTTAAATAGAATAGGATTTTCTAAAGCATGCTTCAAAGTTTTTGGTAATTGTTACTACATTATAGCTAAATTTCTCCTATCATCTTCAAAAGTATAATCTTAGCTCTAGTTCTAATGTTTCCTCACAATGAATATGGTAGAAGTACTTTATTATGTCCTCAGAAGGAAGATGGGGCAATCTACCTCCGTAGTGATACTGCCTCGGAAACCCAAGGAGGGGTCACTACGAGTCGAAATCGACTCAATAGTGTATTACAACAACAACCTTATTTTACTAATATGTACATCTATATCAGGCAATGCTATTTTCAATTTCATTATTTTTAATGGAAGTGCCTTCCATGTGGGGGATCTGGGTTCAATTCCTGGCCAACTCACCTCAAGCGCAGCCACCACTCATCTGTTAGTAGAGACTTG